TCTTACACAAGTGTTTTTATATAACTTCTCAAACAAGAACATGTCCTGCTTTTACTCTTTATATACATAACTGTTGTTCAGTTACTTAATCTTATACATTTTCACGCCCCCTGGTGTAGATTACGAAATCCTATTACACCACCTAAGATACATTTTTCAATGAGTTGGTTCTATTTCGTTTACGCAGAGATTTGTTAGTAGCAATGGCTTTCGAATGCACCGCAAAAGGCTATCTAACATACGTGTTTCCAATTTGATAAATGTTTTTCTTTCACGCTTAATCAATGCCTGAACAACTTATGAAGCTAGAGTGAAATAAAGTTATTTTCAGAAAAAACTATTTAAAGTATGGCAGTCTAGTTTCGTAAAGCAAGAGATTAAGTGAAAGATTCTTATTGCAGATGTGTAGGTTTATTTCAAAGATACACTAATAAAAGTGCTTTAATAAGAGCGATTTTCTTAAGTAAATTTCCCTTTTTGGCATAAAGAAAAAAGTTTTTGTATCTTGAAGTTTATGTTTAAGTTATAAAATAATGACTACACATGCACCCCAAATGTTTATTATTTATTTTTAAACCAATTCGCGACCCCGCAGTGGCACAGCGGTATGTCTGCGGACTAAGAACGCTAGAATCCGGGTTTCGATACCCGTCGTGGACAGAGCGCAGATAGCCCATTGTGTAGCTTTGTGCTTAATTACAAACCAGCAAAGAAACAAATTCGCAGTGATAATGATTAACCCTATGGACTTAATGATGGGGAGGGGGGAGTCCTCCCCTTTTTAAACATATTTTTAAACTTTTTATGCGCCATACTGTTTATGCCATTACTTTGTTTTTTAGGGGTTATTTGATAACATATGATTTCTTTTTAAACGTTTAAACAAAAACACCATCAATATTGGAATTAATTATACTAATGACTGCTGAGATGAATTATCTATATACATTACACAGAAAGTTGGTGGTTTCAGATATAAACATGCTCGGTATTAGGTACAATATGGACCCAGCCGGTAATGAATGATGTGAAAGCAAGTCCCCAATTTGAGGTTTAAAACGTTTATTCTATTATAAAATATGAGTTAAAATTGCTTTTGTACTTTATCATATGTTACTAG